ATATGTGTTTGGGTATAATCTTCCAGGATTCTCTAGTTTCTTCCTTTCATAGGTGTGTATTTCCATGCCAGGCTTTTACATGGGTTCTTGGGGTCCAAATCAGGTCCCCATTATTACAACACAAACATTTTGCCGACTGAGTCTTTATACTGGCCCTGAAATGTTAATTTTCATTTGATCATAATAAGTCATTTCACAAGCAGTGTTTGCAGACTTGGCACCTCACCAGAAAACCAGAGGAATTATCCAGCAGACACCGGAGCCGGCATATGAAGCACCGCTCCAGGAAAGAGGCACTCTCTGGCGGAAGCTGCTCTGGGTTGAAGTGGACTGCTGGTGGCTGCCAGAGGCCAGGAGCTTCTGTAGAAACAAAACAGCAGTGTTTGAACGGTTAAACCTGTGACAAATTTTAAAATGGAGTGTGTATTCATAATTTTAAAGTACCATTTCAAAAACTAATTCAAAAGCCCAAACTTACTAACACCTCTATCCTATAGAACTTGACACATTTTGTATTTGTATTTCTGAGGCACTGCTGTTGTGTTGTTTTTTCTTACCAGCTTCACAGACATCTTAAAACAATGCTTATACCAGGAAAACCCTTTTATTCTTGCATATACTAATGTTTTTATGGGCACAATTTGATAAGAAGGATTTGTATTCTTCAGTTGCAACCCTGTATATTCCTTCCATCTTTCCCAGTGGTACCACAATTAATTTTATAAAACAGCTCTGCTTTGGGCTTGGGTCAGAGCTCAATTTATAATGCTCACTATGCAAGATGACATTGAGTTTGATCCCTAGAACCCATGTCAAGAAAAGTTGAGCATGGAGGCACATGCTTGTAATCCCAGTGCTGTGGAGGTGCAGAGAGTAGGATCCCTATGGCTCCCATCAGTCTAGCCTTCTTGGTGATTTCCAGGCCAATGAAAAGTCTTATTTAAAAGAATAAGATGGATAGTGTGCAAAGAATGGCCCCCAGGGTTGTTGACCTTTGGCCTCCACACATGTACCCACAAGTGGGCAAACACATGGCTGTCATCTGCCAAATTTTCCTTAGGTCATGAGCCTCTTTCAGTTGGGCTCTGATCTATGGCTATAGACTCACACCACCTGACTTGTTCCCTTTCTTCAGTATGGAGCTCCATGCCCTATGACTTCCCAGCCTCCTTTCACAGATATCCAGAAAGCATCACCATGGCATTTTAGTAAACTTTCTTACCATCCCCTGCTTGTGCAGAATCTGTACACTGTGCTGGGTTTAGAGCCCAGTGAAGCTGGCGCTGGAACTCAGCTCGGTCTTCGGTATGGATAAGCTCATAGACACTTTGATGGATGACATCAGACTAAAGAGAAGTAGTGTGAGGAGATAAAGTAGTGATTAAAAAATGATAACCTTAGTCAAGAAGTTTCCAAACATGTGTACATCAGTGGGCACCTCTTGGTGATGATGAACTGAATGCAATGATGGCTGGAGGGGCCACCAAGTCATTCACAGTAGGGGAAGCTACAGGCCAACCCTGTAACTGATTCAGAAGCTGTATATCTCCCAGCACTTCCCAACATGAGCACTCTGGCTCACAAGGCATCTCCCTGCTTCTCAAATGTACCATATGAAGATCTGCTCCTATTCCTTGTCCATTTCATGCCAGTGGGTCTCGACACCTTTGAGGCTACACATCAGACATCTACATTACAATTCATAACAACAGCAAAATTACAGCAATGAGGTTGGAACAAGCCAATTTTATAGTTAGGAGTCACCCCAATGTGAGGAACTGTATTAAAGGGTCACAATACTAGGAAGCCTGAAAACCAATTCTAGAACCTAACTCACCCATGATCCCTCTGTCAGCATCTCATTCTGTCTTGTCTAACATTAACAGCATTTAATTTTTATCTCCTTCACAGATTCATGTGGATTTTCTTTATAGTAACTTTCTTTCCAAGTACACTCCATAGACTCCACAGCAAGGGATACAGCCTTTAGGTACACCGCTCCATGCCTCTCAGCCTTCACTTCAGTGCTGAGATCTGTTTCTTTTCCACTGAAACTCACAAAGTCTAATCCATTTTCCATCCATCCTACACAAACATATACATGCAGAAAACTTCTGTGTAGCATCATTATTTGTGATGATACTCAACATTACCATTTTACTTTATTGCACACTAAGCACTGAAATAGAAAGTTTGATTCTTATCCATTATATTACCTGAAATATTTCCCACTAATGTGTCACAACTTGTAGTTTTGACACTGGAATCTTAATCTCACATCAGAAAGAATATACAAGGTATGCATATGTATGAGAAAAATAAGTTAGAACACAGCTTATATTTTAGTTTTTCTTTTCATTTCTTTTTTGTTTGTTTTTTGAGACAAGAGTCTCACTATACAGCCATGGCTGTCCTGAAACTCACTATATAGAAAAAGCTGACCTCAAATTCACAGATATCTGCCTGCCTCTGTGTCCTAGTACTGGGATTTAAAGTCATTACCACACATGGATTTCTATTTGCAAATTTTAAATGATATAATCATAGTATCATAAGCAAAACCTTAAGTGATTCACTATATTTAAAATAGGCTTTCAATAGACAACAGATTGTTTAAAACAAAGAAAACAAAGATTTAGATTTTGTGACAGTGGACAAATTCCTTTACTTTAATCACTTTCCTTTAAGCAGGTCTCCCTGGGAACTGAAAATGCAATCAAATCATGGTCATGCATCGATTACACAGTTTCCAGGGTGATCTGAAACATAGCTAATGCATCCACTTTCTCGATAATGAAAACTGTCGGTGGATATTGACTGCACATATAATAAGAACTGCAGTCCACATGTGTGTTAAACAGTCTATGGCATGTAGACCAGCAGCCTTGTGAGATTTGCAGACATGCAAACTCATGGGCCACACTATGACCCACTGAAATGCAGTATCTGGGAATGGAGCCCAAAGACCTTATCAAGAGCTTCACATGCTCCTTATGCCATGACAATATGAGAGCCAGATGCACAAGAGCAGCAAGCACTAAAGTGTACTTGTGGCCTGTTCTCAGATCATATCAGATGTTCCAATCCCTCCAACACACCAGTGTTCCATAATTCTATTAACGAATCCTGTTACTTTACTATTGCTGACCACCACACACACCATCCATTCAAGACTGCTTACATAGAGCAAACACTCACCTCCTTCAAGGGTCTCTTGTCTACTGCTAACAGCACTTCTATATTCCCCTATGCTCCCTCATCAACATCTGTGCACTCTACCTGCTTTAGCTCAGTCTCCATACATTTCTTCAAGGTAATACTCATAATGCAGATGCATGAGGACTAAAAGTATAAATTATAGCATTTTACATGTGTAGCATCTCAGTAATTTCATAACTCTTTTACTCAGCAGACCATGGGCATCTATTGGCAAATGTTCTATCTGCTTCCAAACCCGCCCTGCCATAAGTTTCTCTTCCTGGCTGTCTTCTGCCAGGCTAATTATTGAACCCAGCATAGAAGGTACTATAAAGCACAGAACTATATTGGCTGGGTCCTGAAAGTTTCATACCTATATGAATATGAGATTATCAATGGATGCAAATAAACATAATAACTATGAAACAAAACATCAGTGCTATACATTATCAATATTGAAAAAAATCTAACAGTCTTAAATATATTTGCAATTCTTATAGCACACATGTCAGTCAAGACTTTCCATGTACAAAAGGCCAACTTTAATCTTACATTATAAAATAGACCAAACAGCAGAAAGTTAGTTTTCTAAAAAAAAAAAAATTAATTTAAAATGATGTACGAGAAATGCATTTACTTGCTGAAAGCCCAGGTAATCTTGGATAGTAGAGGAAGCATAGAAGACCAAGGCATCTGCTGTGACAACCAGTACAAAGCCGTTCAGTGCCTGCAGACAGGAAGGCATAAAACTGTCAATCAGGGGAGCAACTGTTAGGTAAAAGCTGTCTCTATCTACAAACACCCTCTCCTTATACTCCCCAAACACAGTCACATGACATCTGGACTGGGCAAATCTACCCCTGCCTCCTACTAGGCTGAGAGAAAACTTAACAGCTAAATTTAAGATTCAACCAGGTACATGAAAAAGATACAGGGTTACCGTTCTCCTTACACTCCAGATTTGTTCCTTTAAATGCACTGCATCTATTTTTTGATAAAATAAACTGCACAGAAAACACTTACTATAATTACTTGCCTTTTTTCTTTAGGGAGGACAGCAGAAAAACTGCTTATTAGACCTTTAAGTGGAGAAAACTAGGCAGAAGACCATAAGGCTTGCAGCCAAAATGCCTCAGGCATTGACTGAAATTTAGATGCTTTCAAAGAATTATATATTAAAACTTTTATTGAAAAGCACAATGCATATTAAATATAACATTCAAAAATTAAATATATTTCTCAACTATAAAACACATACATGTATTAACGTTTACTCTAATTGTGAATATTTTCATGTTTAAATGCATTTTCATATACACTTCTTATTTCTGTTAGTTTTAGCTACTTTTCTCCCTCATGCCTGTACTACTATTATGATTATTCCATGCTTTTCCCTTTTAGTTTGCACGTCCTTCTTTTTCTACTTTTGCTTAGATTTTTTCAAGGTCAGTGTGAATTAGAGGTTTATCTTCCTCTTGGATAACAAAAGTATATGTGCGCACTTCAACTATCCAGGGTTAGAAACTGAATTCAAAAAGCTCTCATTATTTTCTTCTTGATTTCAGTCCAATGTCCCTCCTGAGACACAATGCAATCTCTTTTTACTTTTTAAAAAAGTCTCTTAATTGTAACCCCTATAAAACTAAAGAGCAAATTACATACTTCCAAAATATACATTATTGCTTCAAAAGGGAGGAATAGGGGCACTGTGAGGAATTACTGAACTCAAGCTAGACTGGAGCTCAGCAGGGCAAACACCAAATCCTGTAGCTGGGTGTGCAGACCGGGAGTGGAATTTGTCAACTAAATGGGAAATGCCCTCTTTAGTCTTGGGCAACTGCACACTTAGTCCCAATTTGGTGGAGTTGTTCCTTGCTGGGGAAGTCAATCACTGGTGGCAAGCTCCAAGATTATAGTCTGACCCTATTTCCAGTTCTCTTTCTCTCTTTGCACGGTGTTCACATTTACAGATGCCAGCTAAGCTTGCTGCTCCTGCTACCATGCCTGCTGTTTACTTATTTTTTCTCACTAGGATGGACTCTAACTCCCTGGTTCTGGAAGCCAAAGTAAACCCTTCCTTCTGTAAATCACGTTTAGTCATGGTGTCTCATTCCAGTAACAGAAAAGGAATCCACATAGTTCTGTTCCAGCAACAAGTTAGCAAAACATACACCAGGCTGGCTCAGTTCACTAAGCATAATCGGGAAAGATGCCAGCACTATCACAGCATGCTTACTCTTCCATCTTACTTGCACAGAATCGCTGAGCATCCGCACACACTGTGAGAAGTGAGCAGTGTCTACTCTAAGAAGATACAATTCACAGTTTTTAAAAAATGGACCCACAGTAAACCTGTTAGAAACTCCCAAGTTCTAAAGCACAAACAATAACTTGCAGGTGCTGGGGAAATCTGTAACATGTAAGTCACACATCATTGCTAAAGTTAAGTAGAAGTTATAATATTGCATATTAAAAACAAAAGTGTTTGTATTGCACACAGCACATGCTTTCACTATGTAAGCAACGTTCCTGAAAATGTACACAGGACAATCAAGAGAAGCAACAACTGGACCTGATAAACTCAGTTCCCACAGTCCCGGGATGATTAGCCTTGGTTAATCCACTTCTCATAATCCCATCTGCCAGGTACTGGAGAATACCACTGATGCAGCTCACATGAAAGTAGCCCAGTGCGTCTACAATGACTTAGAGGGATTAGGACCACTGAGCCTCCCACCTAGGATGTCCAACTGTCCTATCGGAAGGGACTGTACCACTAGAATTACCTGTAATAAGAACTCTCCTTCTTGCAAGTCCAGTCCATCGCTGAATTGTGCTCTACACTGATCCTGGCCTCCATTCCTGTCTGCAGGGGAGGATTTTAATGCAACTATAGGGGGAAAAAGAGGAAGAAATAATCTCATAAAAGGTACATATTTAAACAAGCAATATGAAAAGACTATAATAAAAACCATCCAAGAGATGACCTGAAACCCTGTGTACAGAATGTCTAGTGAGAGGTAACACAGCTGAGCAGGATCACCATGGCTACCATTATTTCCACATTTTATCATGCGCTAACAAACCTCATTTGAAAACACAGGGCAAATGTGTCTGACCAAGGCAGATACAAATCTTAGCTCTGCCATTTATTAAACACACCATCTCTTGAGCCAGTGTTAACTAATATGTGAAAGGCAGTTTTAAAAAGTGCATTGTGCGAGGCTGTGGTGAGGAACAAGGCGTGGAGTTCCTGACACAGCAGACCAACACATCAACAAACAGTTGCTCTAATTAGGGTGTTTACAAGAGTTTAAGGGCTGCCTTATTAGAAAGAAGAATCTCCTAAATGCCTTGCCTTCTTATCTTCCCTGATCTCTTTCTACCTTCCATATTTAAATACTGACTCGGCAGTCCTTAAGAATTATTTTATTAGATTTCTTTGTTCCCCTGGCTCAGAGAAAGCTGTCATAGTGAGCAGAGCACACATGAACCATTCTCATGTTCATAGGGAAAGCTGTCTTCCTGGGCAGAGTGCACACCAAGTATTCAGGGAAAGCTGTCTTGGTAGGCAGAGCACACGCTCGCACTTTCTGGTAAATCATGGGTGCATGTGTCTCTCCGGGATCTTATGCAAGCTCCCCCCACCTTTGCAGAAGCTGGACTATATCTCTGGGAGAGAAGAGGCCAGGGTTTGGCCTCTGTGCATAAAAACTGTAAAGGGCCAGAGAACAGACTTCCTCAGGCCAAAAAAATAGTGTAAGGTAATCTGATCTAGCTGTTAATCAGGACTAAACGGAAATACTTAAATGTTTCTCACTGAAATGCACAACAGACAATGAAAGGCCTTTTCTTCCTTTCTGGTCTGTGTATCAGCCATTGCTGCCGTGCTCTTTGATGGGAAACTTTGCTGTGAAGCACTGAGGGCTCACAATGCCAAAGTTCAAAAAGGGACTCTGCTCCTTCACCACAGGCTTCCACAGAAAGAACCATTTAGGAGTTTCACCAGTAAGACCCATGATGAAAAGATGGGAACACAGCCAAACCCAAGCCCCACATTCTCACGAAAAAGCAGCAGCAGCAGTCTAAAACCGGAGAGATATGGCGTCAGACAAGAAGACCTCAATTATCATCTGGGATCTCTTCACATTAATTTTGTAATAGCAGAATTCATGTCAGTACCAACTACAGTCACCAATAGGGGAAAACAACAGCTCAGCATTTACATACATTCTTTATCATTGGAATGGTGAATAAGGAACCGAAGGGTTTGTCTCAGTATGTACCACTTGCTAATGGGCTTGTATAGGGTTAGTAACCCTGGTAATGAGACTTTGCCTGTCTTCAAGGACCATGTACAAGCTATAGAAAGAATGAACTAGAAGAGAATGTCAAAAAGAGTCAATCAGAACAGGCGTACAAAGTATTGCAGAAAATGTGACAATGGTGCAAATAAGAGCAAGCTCTGCATAAGAACTAATTCTTGGGTTTTTAAATGTTGGAAGAACAACATTTGATATACAGGGTAATGAATTTCTGAGAATGGTCACTGCAGGGTTCTACTCCAAACAGACCAGACCAATGTTTCTGTTGATCAGTCCCCAGTAAAGGACTAAAGTAAATATTCCACAAGCCTAAGTACAGAACCAGTACGTGCACTCACTTCTCAAGGTCTCCCCACCAAACACCTCTGTGCCATTTTAGAAGGTTTACTTTATGATCATACTTCTCAATCCAGACTAAGTCATTTTAGCCTTTTATAGCATTTTCCCTCGAAATAGTCTCATAACCATTACCTCTCCCTTTCTAAATCGCTAGACTCTGTATTAATAGTTTTTCTTTCATGTTCATGTAGCTTAAGAAATCAATGGAGGAGAGCAACTGCTTCCTGCCATTACAAGTACTGTATTTACTGAATAATAATGTATGATCTTGCGGCTGTAATCTATGCCCAGCACTTCCAAACTATCATGTCCCATTTAGTTTCCATAACAACCTTATGAGAGTGGCACTGTTTGTTTAATATGATATACAACTAGACATAGTTGTGTATGAGACGAAGAAACTTTCTGGGAGTTGTCAAACTTTAAGAGGTGAATCTTGGATGAAAATCCAGGCAGCCTGCTCCCAGTGTGCAGGAGATGACCCCCTCGTCCTACAGTTCTCACTGAGTGAACCACTTTTCACCTTTGGTTTTCTTGCCTTTAAATGAGAGCAATGCAATCACTGGAGATGAATTCTGGCGAGCGTAAAATAACATGCAGCCTACTCAGGGACAGTCAAGGGCAGAGGTAATATACCGTTCCCTATGTTTACATACCCTGGGACTACCACAAAAAACTTAGAATACTGCACTGGGGCTAACCATTTACCCAATTTATATTTTCTAACCTAGTATATTCCTCTTCTACACATTATTTTGAATTATTAAAGAAAGAAAATTCATAAGACAAAATGCTAGACTGTGGTAAAGTACATCTTGACCTTTGTTCTTATAAGTTTACTTTTAAATTGAAATGTGGCATGATACAATTTTTGAGGGAAAACTATATGTGTTTTATTTATTCTAATAATTGCTATTAATTTAATGTATTTTACAGTGTTTATCATCTCCTTTATAACTGTGACAGGAAGAGTTAAATTCCATTCCAACATTGATGTAAGCATAAAACAGAAACAACTTAAAATCAACAAAACACATAAACATAGATATAGTAGAATAGTTTATAAAACACAATTTTTATTAATTTAGGAAAAATATCCCAACTTAATTTATTAGAATGAATAAATTTCCAAATAATATATCAAGTACACCTAGAGGGAGTTTTCTATATAATCTGAAATAAATGATACACTTAATTACTTTAATATACTGTAAAGTTTTCTTCTGTACATGAAATGTGCTTTTTAAAAAATTGTGTGCCTAGCCTTTAACGGCTGAGCTATCCCTCCAGACTGTAAAGAGCTCATTAGCAAATTCCCACCTGAGGTGAAGGGCAGTTCTTAGGTGACATTAACACTGGGTCCCTCAAGGTCCCTGGGCATATTCAATAACAACAAGGAATTGTTTCCATTAAAACAATATTCCGTAAGAAGTAAGTATAGTTTACATGTCAATAATTTTAATTACAGAATTCACTCACAGAGCCTTTACTCTGAGCATTAAGCCACTCCACCCTCAGAGCAGGCAAGCCCTGGTGCTGCCCACAATGAGAGAGGGAAGGAAGACGGTGTGGCACAGCCCTCTCAAAAGATACAAACTCGTCCACTGAGTGACATGCACCTCCCCTGAGCCTGTTCACTCCCATATTAGGCAAAACATCCTCTGCTGTGTGCTACCTCCACCACGACACAGAAAGGAGACATGACCCAGAACCAATGGGATATTCTGTCATATGACAATAAAATGTCCCCCACATCATGGAGGAAAATGAGAAGTGAGGAAAAACAAGTTCACAATAGACAACTGTGAGTTTTGGAATGGTGATATGTAATCTGTCTGTGCCATCGTATGTTGGAAGTCTGTGGTCTGCTTTTTTGTTTTCATTTTACAGGGTGTTACAGTTAAAATATTAGCTTGACTCTCAGAAGAGACTTTGGACTTTTAAACAGTGTTGGGACTGCAAAAGGCTATGGGGACTTTTGATGTTGGACTGAATGCATTTTGGATTATGCTATGGCTATAGGAGTAGAATAAGGTGGTTTGAATGAGAATGGCCCCATAGGCTCATATATTTGAACGCTTGGTACCCAGTTAGTGGTTGGCTAGATGTGGCCTTGTTGAGCAGGTGTGGCCTTTTGGAGTAGCTGTGTCACTGAAGGGCTTCAAGGGTTCACAAGCCCACTCCAGTCCCAGTCTTGCTCTCTCTCTGACTGTAACTTTTAGATCAGGTGTGAGCTATCTGCCACTGCTGGAAAGCCATGCCTGCCTGCCTTCTGCCATGTTGATCATGAATTAACCCCTTGAAACTATAAGCAATCCCCCAGTTAAATGTTTCCTTTTATAAGCTACTTGGTCATGAAGTTTCACCACTTAATAACCCTAAGACAGTTTCTAAATGCAGAACAATTTGAACAACTTATTTATATCCTGAAAATTTCAACAGGTAGTAAAAAAAAAAGTCATTCAAAATATAAATGCCAAAATTATTCTTCTTAAGAATAAATTGTTAGTTGGGAGTGGTGGCACACACCTTTAATCTCAACACTCAGGAGGCAGAGGCAGGTAGATCTTTTCAGTTTGAGGCCAGCCTGGTCTACAGATTGAGTTCCAGGACAGCCAGAACTACATAGAGAAATTATGTTAAAGAAAAACCTAAAAAAGTAACTAAAAATAAATTGTTACCCATAATGAGGTTGGTCATCAAGAATCACAGTCTCTCATGTTTGATAACCCTGTAAGAGGCATGGCTCAGGAGAAAAACACCTTTCTGTTAATGCCAGTCAATTTCAAGACCTGGATACAGCCACCAAAATCCTAGTCTCTGAAACTAATCTCCTATTGACCATAGTCATTGACCTTCTTGAGTACTTTCTGCATGAGACATGGTAGATAAAAGTTTCAAATTAACTACTTGAAACTTCACCCTACCTACAACATGACTAAGTAGTCCTAAGTACTTAAAAGTTCAATTCTGGGCAGTTTCCCTTAATTAGGAATGGATAAATATTCATGTTGTACCTAACATTCAACTGCTACTTTACAGAGAGTACTAACAGCTCGGTCATGGCTCCCAAGTTTAAGAAGATCAATTCAAGCCGTATTATTTGAACTTGCAATAAATAGATGTATTTTCTTGGAAAAATATCTATTGTTATAGTAAAACTTGAGTTTCCTTTCTAGCAAGATTGTATGATTACTCGTTTATATTGTTCTTTCCGCAGGAATTCACACACCCCCTGTTTGCATCCTGTTATTCATTTTGAGCTTCCCTTCCCTTCACTACACTGTTTCCTTATTGGAGGGACGGTTGAGACCAGCCATGGACAGGCACCCGCAGGACTGTCGGAAGCTCCACATCACCAGGTTTGCACAGCACTGCTCTGTGCATGCGGGTACCATGCTGTATTCTGGCACACGGTGGGCCCATGTGGGTCCACTGATGGTCCAGAGAGGATGCATGATCATTTGGTTTTAACTGACTTTTATCCCCTCACTTTCCACCTAACGTCTGTGCTCCTATACCGAACAGCCCAAGGCACTGCTCAAAGTGTATACACAACCCCACCCCCCATACACTTACAATCTTCCCGAAATTTTGTGTAGTTTGGTTTTTCCTTTCAAAGGCAAAGCAAACAACTCTTAAAAATCAGCTCTGGGCATAATGGAGGCCAAACTAAAACACTGCCATAAGATTTCAACACTTTGCTCAAATATTGACTCCTTGGTAAAAGAAACTGAGTCAGCATGGAGCAGGCATTGTCTAGAAGGCATATTCCAACAAAATTTCCAGATAACTTTCATGCACACTGAAGTGTACAATCAACACAATGGTCTAAATTTAAGGATAATAGAATCAACAAGGAACAATACAAATAGGTAATAAAATCTGAATAAAAACCCAACAAATTAATGAAGGGCTGAAAAATACTTTTAACAGACCTGGCACACTACAGCTTTGCTAATAATGCAGATTTGGTCCACAAGACGCATGCACGTGTATAACCATACATACATGTTAAGCATACAAATATCTTAAAGACAGTGATTATGCAATGCTTACATGGTATCAGTGTCATCCCCTTACTTTTAAACAAGGGACAATGTATATATTTTCTCACACGTACATACATACACAAACATGTACATTACTTTTCACACACACACAAACATATACATCATTTTTCACACACACACAAATATACATTACCTTACACACACACACACACACACACACACACCTCATTATAAAGAAATTGAAAGGTAAACCTTTCCTAGAGTCAACACAGAGGCCCCATACCCTGTACATGAAATTCCCCGAGAGCAGAGAAACCTCCTACGTCAGGGAAGCGTGAAGGGGAATCTGGTGCAGCAGTGAGCACAGTGTGCAAGCAAACACAGAGGCTCAGGATACCAAGCTGTGTGGCCAGCTCAAGAGCACTGGATCCAAAGTGCTCACAGGTCTCTACCCGCGATCAGTGACCCATACTGCAGGTCCAGGGTTGCTAACAAGCCCCGTCAGTGCTGATGCTGCTTTCTGGAGATGGTTCTGTTGGCACTGTTGTGAGACAAGGGTATACACACACACATTCTTCAGACTTTGCAAGTGAGGGGAGGGACACAGCTGGAGTCAAAGAGATAAAAGGAATCAAGAAGCGTGGGTTCAGTGTTAGCTCTACCACAGACAAGGATGCTCAGACACTCCACTGAGCCATACACAGTGAGCCAGGACCAAGGGCTGAGTAGGATGGGAGTGCTATGAAACTATGCATGATCACTACTGTAGGACTCTGCCTTACAGAGCACATGGAATCACTCATGTGGGAGTTGGTGTGCACTGCAGATCACATGGAATCACTACTGTAAGAGTTGGTGTACATTGACAGACTACAAATATTAAAACATTCACAAAGAAGCATGCAATCATAGTGCTCAAACAAAATACATCAAATCATATAAACATACATGTGAAGGGAAATGACTTTCTTGGCAATCCTCTAAAACACATTACAGACATGAGTGGTGCTACCTGGTGACCTGGACGGCCACCATCAGCACCATCTGAGTTTGCAGAAGGGAAACATCTGCAATCCAGCACGATGAATAGTGAGTGATGAGCACACCGCAGTGAACACGATGACTAGTGAGTGATGAGCACACTGCTGACTAGTGAGTGGTGAGCACACTGCAGTGAACACGATGACCAGTGAGTGGTGAGCACACTGCAGTGAACACAATGACTAGTGAGTGATGAGCACACTACAGTGAACACGATGACTAGTGAGTAGTGAGCACACTTCAGTGAACACGATACTAGTGAGTGATGAGCACACTGCATTTCAGCATGAGGCCTGGTGAGTGATATTATGTACTGCAGTTTGAGAAGCTTGGGTAGCGTACACTGAGATCTAGGTATCAATCCATTCACCACAGTTTGTGAAAGAACATGATGCTCTAAAAAGCATGTTCCTTAAGGAATCAATTTTTGACTTATAAACATAAAAAGAAAACAAAGGCACTTGGGGATGGTTTCCAAGGGAAGGGCTCTTATTATTGAAGCATGGCAACTTTAGTTCAAATCCCAAGAATGCATCTAAAAGATACCTGAGGAAGTAGTTTATATGACAAAATACGATAGAACATTAATGTCACATAAGAATCCCATTTTAAAAATTCTGTAATGAAATACTGGATGACTAATATGTAACAAACATCATTCAGCCACTTAGCCCCACATCCACCGTCACAACCGAGTTCACGGCTGAAGGATAGGATGCTCCCTGGCATGGTTTAAAGTCAACAGTTTGTTAATGGCACTGTGAGAAAGAAATCTAACACTGTTGATTGCCATATTTGAGTGTTCTTGCTAATCATAAGCCATGTAACTACCGTTTCTTTATGCAAACATACATTAATGTAAATCAGTATAAGATAATATAATTTTGAAAGGCTAGATGAACTGACATCCATAAAAACAGAAAATGTAGGAACAATATATTACTATCTTGTGTGTGTGTGTGTGTGTGTGTGTGTGTGTGTGTGTGTGTGTAGGATCTAAGTGCACATGTCTGTATGCACACATGCAGAAGCCAGAGAAAGATTTGTGTCTTTCCCTATCACTGTATGCGGTATTCCCAAGGACTGTCACTGAACCTGCAGATAAGCTAGCTTGCCACCAGCAAGCCCCAGATCCCTTCTGTCTCTGTCTCCCACAGTGCTAGGGTTATAGGCATAAGAGGAAACTTCAAGCTTTTAAGTGAATATTGGAGATGTGAACTCAGATCTTCATTTTTTTTTTTTTACAGCAAATACTCTCCTATCAACTTAGTCACAACCCCAGCCCCAATCACAGTCTTCAAGTATTTTGTTATTTCTTCCTAAAAATGAAGCCTGAGTTGCTGGGGACCAAAAATTATCAGTTAGAAAGTTTCTGGGGTCCAAATCTCTGGCTCCATCTTTCAGAAACCTGAATTTCCATTGCATTGCAGATGCTGGCTAATTGCTGCCGGATGGCATGGCCTCAGTGGAGAATGTCTCCCAGTTTGCATTAGAACAGGGCTAGACCGTGAATGTTCCCCACCTGTGCTGAGAGCTCTGTGCCTAGAGACTGTTTAGGTGACTCTTGAATTAAAAGAATTACTTGATATCAACTCTATACATGATAATAGATGCTTTCTGGTATTGCCCTTGCCCTTGGAGAACTACTTAAAGGGTTTCTTCAATAAACTGTGGCTTTTCAGTATCTGCTGGAAGCCCTCCTGAGATGATCTGGTGTTTTCTGTCTCATCCTTAGCGCCCTTGGGTAGTTAGCTTCCCCAGGTCCATACACCCCCACTCAGAATCGGACCCAGGACTGTAAAGCTGGCTCCATTCTAAGTTCCAAAGAGAGCAGTCCAGAATACTGAATATAACTTCTAAATATATGACTTTCAAAGAATGATACCATATATCTTTCAAATGGCTATATTTATCTAATGAATGAGACAGAAGGGTTAATTTAACATAGTTACAAAATTAGCTTTGTCACTTAATTATTTTTTATGACAAAAAATAAAACATTTTCACTCATGCATAGTTTTAATAGTCATCAACATTAAAAGAAGCACAATTAACATTAGTATTTCACAAGTTACTGCTGCAAAGCCAACCCTGATGTCTTACCATCGAAGAAGCTCTTGGCCCTCAGGTAGCTGACACTGAGCCTAAGAACTGAGAGTTTGTCCAGCTTGTTAATAACATCTTGTGGGAAGGGCAGCAGGCTGGCCAGGCGGTCCAACTCTGTGTTCAGCCGGTCTCTATGTCGCTTAGAAGGATTTGACTTGACTCCTTCAGCAGGGACTGGCTTTACTCTGAAAACAACAAAAATATTGCAAAAGCCTTTAGAAAACATAGCAAAAGTGTCAGGTGCACTACATCTCCTCACACACATCTCTAAGAGAACGAACTTTGAAGACCTACTTCAAGTTTGCATAGATCTTGCCCAAATCTTCCTTTCATATCTTAATTAAGAAAACCAGGGAAAGGGGAAACCCTTCATTAAAAGCTTACAGACTCATCATGGGGAAATGTTAAATGCTTCTTACAAAAATGCTTACTCACTTCATATATATGTAGCATAGTAACTGCCACTGAACAAGTCTACTAGGCTTTATTTTCCCATTGAAAACAGTAGTAGGCCAAAGCAACGGAAATTTTTTTACTGTAGTATATTGAAATCACACTTGTGCTGTCTTCCAGAGACGCAGCCCAGCATTGTTTCTTGGGGTGGCAGAGAAGCCAGAAACAGAGGGACCAGCTGCTTCCTGTACACATCCCACTCAAAAACTGCTTCCCCATCCTTCTGGAACCTGAAGACGCTCCACTACCCACCTAATATGGTCCTTAAATACAAACAAGGATACATTTGAATTCAGGTATTCATATTTGTTGCATGTCAAATATTAGAGGCAATTTCTACTTTCATGGCTGGATTTAGTCTACATAATGATTAGCTTCTATGGTTTGCATCTCAATTAAAAAGCCAAGGAGGCCCTGACAATATAGTATGATATTCCTTTGAGACAAAAACAAAACACAAAGAAACAACGAACTGAGACAGCCATGGGCAAGAGCTGAAACTGAGTTTTACAGAAAGGCCTTATTTGAAATTTCAAAATAAAAATAACTTAAAGTCAGTTGGCAGATCAGTAGACCCCCATGCTCAAACAGAGACTATAATAAATTGAATGGTGAGATGGCTCAGTGGGAAATGTGCCAGCACCAAACCTGTAAACAGAGTTCAGTTTCCAGGATCTACATGGTAGAAAAGACAACGGACTCCCCTATGCTGTGCTGATATCCACAAGCATACCATGGTCTCCATGTGTGCGCTCTTGCTTGTGCGCACGCGTACCCCCCCACACACACATGAAGAAAACAAATAAAATTTTAGACCACATCTCTACACTTTGTCGTAAGATTCATACAACAAAGCCCCTTGTGACACCACAAATGAAAGTAGGGTGCCAGACAAAGCAGAAATTGACTGGGTGGAGTAGCACTAATTAGACTGAAGAAGTATGTTAGATCATTTATATCTTTAATGATATAAATGGAGAATATTTCTTTTTTTGGATGCAATATGATTTTTATTCATGTGTATATTGTATATTAATAAAATGGGATAATTACCAAGTCCATTGCCCTAAAGGTTTATCATTTCTTTGTAGTAGATACATTAAAGTGTTCTCTTCTAGCTGTTTTGAGATGTGGTAGAGATTCTTGTCCACTATCTTCACTCTACTACATCACAGATGCCACACCCAGTATAGCATGATGCTTGTGATAGCCTCTCTCCTGTCTTTCATCTGCTTCTCTCTTCAGCAGGAGAATATTTCATTTAGAAAGACGAAAATTCATAATTTTAATATGCTTTTTACACTTCACTAGAAAATAATTTCTTAAACATGTCTTTCTACATTAGAAGCCATACTATATATTCAAAATCAATGCCTTCTTTAAAGAGTTTGTATAATTCCTTATTAAACAGAAACTGGTGACTGCCTCCCTATTTATTTCTCCCAGTCATATGCATGGAATCAAATTTTTAAGTCACCTGCCGAATTTCAATCTTTATTCCCAATGTTTGTCTACCTCATTCTGTAATTCTCTCTCTGGTGGTAATTAAAGACTTCGCCATTACTTATTTAGATATGTCCTATCCTGGACAGTCCTCAAAGATATTATTCTACTATATCAAAAACTAGTGTGAGAGCTACATAAAATAAAGAACCGCTTAAAAAGGATCTTTCACATATACATGACATCTGACTCTGACCCTGGCTAAGTAAGGTCTGAAGCAAGAAGGTGAGAAGGGGGAAAATAGGAGAGGGCGAGATGGATGAGACAGAATGCCTACCTGGTACAGATGCAGAACACTGAGATGGGACATTAGCACACAAACCTTTCATTCTTGTGTTGCAACTGGGTGACAGGGAACAAAAACAAATGACCATGCATACAATGTTTGCATCTGGTATTAAGCAAACTAAAGCAAAGTAAGGAAGGGCTGGCGGAGGTGCTGACTGTGACAGACAGGAAAAGTCTGTCTCATGTTTCAGTACAGATGAAGGAGGGAATCAGATGGCTGGAAATGGAGGAAAGCCATGGAAGAAAACTGGATTCTGACATCTGAAGTTATCTCAAGCCCTGAACTGGGATCTACCCTACCGTTCTGTGTTTTGCCAAGCTGCCCTTAGTCATGGAGAATATGGACAACAGGGCAGCACTCACTTAAGTTCCAATTCCATCATCTGAAAATTTCTTTTTAAAGGACAAATCTAACCATGCTTCTCTGATTACAGATTTTATTAGCACTGGGCCCCCTGGTTAAGAGACTCCTTCATGATCTTTCTAGCTTGGCTTTGCTTTATTTGACCATTATACTCCAGAGGTAAAAAGTCCCTTACAGCAATCAACACGCACTTTGGTGCTTTCATGCAACTCCTTGCTCTGACTCACTCCTTTCAAGTCTACAATGGAAGACTTTTAAAAAGGCTTCTATGACCTGCCTTGCAATAGACTGCCTAACCCCATTCCATATTTTCTGAATTCACCCCAAACCATCATGCTGAAGGGACCAGCTCCCCATTTCGGCAGCCATAACAGCCTAACACATGCTTGCCTGACCTTGCCTTGGTCACTAGGAGGTCAGATGCCTGCCTCGTGGCAAGGAACCAATCAGAAGTTAGCTAGGGGTGCTATTCTCTACAGCTCTGGGTGTGCTTTATGGACAAGTGCATAGCAATGACAGGCAGAGCATAGCAACTGCCCTGGGAGGGCCTATGGGCCATAACAACCAGTTGACCAATCAACACAGAGGAAGTCCTCCAAGCCTGGAGGCACACCAATCCTGAGCCTGTTCGTACCCATAGACACTCCCCTTATGCTGCTCTATAAGATCTCGGTCCCGTGGCTTCTCAGGGTCTTTCTCCAGCCTTCCGCCATGGTGAGTGGATAAAAGGCTCAAACTAACATGGGGTTAGCTCATTAAACAACTGCAATAAAGCCTCATGCTGAGCCACTGGGGTCTTTCAATGCACTGTTCCATTAAGGAATAGGCCATTTAAATGATGTCATGCTCAGTAAGGCATATTCAATCTCATCATGCATTCTTAATAGCTTTACAGTGACAACCATGAAACAATTGGAAGAATAACATAAACAGATGCAAGATCCCTGAGATGACACAGAGAAGGAACAGTAACTGAGAACCACAGCCCACAAAGCACTGTTCCCTGTCTTATGATGGCTCTTGCAGTATTTAACCCTGTACTAGATTATCAGAATCTACTTTCTTTACACAAATCAGAAGTGTTCACAATTTAATGCATTAGCATGTACCTTATGCAATGTTTAACATGGAACCAAATTTCCCAGATTCTCAGTACTCAGCATAGTACTTGATACAGACTGGACTCTTAACGAATCTTTGCTAACTAGAAGTGTTCAGAGAAGTAATCAGAGTCTGATCCCAGGGTGTGACTAGGGGAGTGAGGAGTACCTAAAGAGAGACTTAAGCAGGATTCAAATATTGGCCAAACTAAGCCAAACTGATATGCATTGGGAGGGTAAGGAAAACAGAGGGAGGAGTGACTGCAAATAACTCTGAGACTTGCAGCTTACAAACATACATGATTCTTAACGAAAGGCCTGCTGAACAAAAGGGTGGTTTGAACAAAACTGACATTTAGGGATAGAGCTAAGTATGAGACGGAGAAAGAGGAAAAAAAGAGGGTAAGACAGATGGGAAAGGACAAGGTTAGCATATATGGAGGTCCCAGTGCAAAGTTAAATGCACAGAAAGGTCTAGAAAACTGAGAAGGGGATCCTAGACTGAGTAATACAACTCTGTCTGTGGTGTGTTTCCTCATGATCAGAAGCTCTTGAACTATCAGGCAGGTGAAGCACAATGCCTGGCTTACTTTTCCACTGATAATTTTTTGAGATCTACTAAAATTATTTTATAAAAATATTTCATATATTTCATGCATATGGACGACACACAGAATACTACAGACAGGCAGTAACCCTGTAACAGCAGCATAGACCTGGGGTATGCCAGCATATTTGCTCTTATGTAGTCTTTACCTCTACACTGCCATGTTTGCCAACCATTGTTTGAATAAAAGCTGCTCCGTGTAAGTAAATAACCCATATAGCATGGCTAAGGAGAAATGCAGTTTCTAATGAGGCAGGGACACATTTCATGATTTGTTTAAGCACCTGCCCAGCACAGTCTCCAGCTGAGTGCAGGCAAGTAAGCTTGTTTCTGAAGTCCAGCTCACTGCATCTGGTGCTGGGTTTTAATGCCAGACTGTCGGCACTCTCTAAGGACTTTCCAGTTTCACCTACAGGAGCTAGGCTCTCTGTACTCTGTTTTGAAGCAAAGTGGGAAAAAGTGAACAATTCAGTTTAATCATAAGTTAAGGTTATTGTAGTTGCTTGGCAATGCAAACATATGGTTTCGGTAATCCTGGACAATTAAAGTGGAGTCTCCTAACAACAGACACCAATCTAGACTCCTAGCTCATTCTCTTGGCTTTTTTCTCTACAACTAATCCACTCCCACTGCTTCAGTCTACCCAAATGTCTCTAAGTCTCCTGTACTTGAATGTCTTTATTCATATTTCCTAGGACCTGGGCTCCCCTTCTTATTATCTTGTAGGGTGCTACTCTCCACCCAAGAAATTTCAAGTATTTCTCAATAAACCCCTCTACTATAGTGGCTACACACACCCAACTCGTTTTTTTACTCATTAGCATGATTATGGTAAAAGGTCAGATAATAACAAATATTGTCACAAATATA